CTGGAGCCAGCGGGGATGGCAGCTGCCCCCACCCCGTCCGCCCCGCCATCCCTCCCTCCGCTCCTGGGGGCGGTGCTCTGGCCACCGGCTCAGCTTTGTGGACTTGCCCCCCCACCCTCTCCCCGCCTGTCGGCTCCCCTCTCGAGGGTTGAGGCGCCCTGCCTGACTTCAGCCGCAGGTTCCAACCGGCCGATCGGGATTCAGTCCTGATCCAGCCATCACCCTGTCCTTCCCTCCTCCTTTCTGGCTGTGACCAGTAACCTTCCCTGCTGCCGGCTTGGACCAAAGGAAGCCTGGGCTTTGCTGGCTCAGTTTACCACGGAACACCCGTGAAGACCAACGTCATCTCCTCTGAAGGGCTGTGTACCCCCGGGCTGAGAAACTGGACGAAGCCTGTCTGCTGGGCTTGGATGTGCAACGTTCACTTGTGCTCCCAGATTCCAGTGTCCTCCTCGGTAGAATAGAGACGTGGGGATTAAATGGTAATAGACATAAAGCTCTTAAACAGAGCCTGCCTGGGGTAAGCCCGATTTGGGTCTTAGATCCCAATTACTGTATTGACACCACCTATCAGGCCTTCCTATGTACCAGGCATGGTGCTAAGCTTCTGGTGTCCAATCACTTCATCAAACCCATTAGCACGATCTGAGAAGCTGGACCAGCCTCATTCGAGGGATGAAAAGGTTGGACTCAGAAAGTCAGTCAGCTGTCCAAGGTCACACAGCAGGTGAGTGACAGCTGGGCTCTGAGCCTGGTGTCAGCACTAATGCTCCTTTTTTCAGCCTCACCCCAGACCAGGAGCAGCTTTGATTCTTGGGGGGAAGGGAGGGCATGAGTAGGGTACATCCAGGCACACAGCTTGAACCTGGAGCATCTGCTTGGAGCCCCAGCCCACTTCCCTGTTCCTCCCTCTGCCCCTTTCTGGGACCCCAACGTCCTCAGGTAAGTACTGTGAGAAGGTAGTGACCTCACGTGCCAAGAGACAGCCGTAGAGGGAGCCTGGGAACCCTAAACATTGCATGCCATTGGGGGCCTCAGAGCCTCAGTTTCCACAGATCCCCTAACTTCCCTGTTCCACTCTGGGTGAAGGCGAGTATAACATATAAATGTTTATTGCTTTCTCAAGTGGTTGATTAAAACTAGAGCAATCTCCAACCCTTTGAAGTGAGGGCCATATGCCAATTGGCTCAGTCTCTATTTTTGAATCATCAGTCGCTGTTTTCTCTATTATTGTATGATCATATGTAAAAATAAAAAGGGGGCCAGGAAACCTTTTCGTGCTCTGAAGGCTCTTACAGGCAAGTGGAAGAACAGTGTGCCACAGGGTGGCCTCTGAAGATCTGGTAGCCCTGTGAGTTCCACTGGCCCCAGGACAGACACAAGAAAACATAAGAGGCCTTCTCCCCTTCAGAGCAGCTTTGTGTCACAGTCATGGCTGTCTGGTCCCCTTCACAAGCCCTGGTTGCTTCTTCTACTGCCTTGGGAGGGCTTGGTTTGGGCCATATTGATTGAAGATCTCCATTCCTTAAATACCTTGAGAGTCGGGTGGCATTTCTAATTTTATTTTGCATATGGGTGTGTGGTGGGAAGGTGTGTGTGTCTGGATTTGTGTGTATGCATGTGCGTGTGTGTGTGTGTGTGTGTGTGTGTGGCAGAAAGACAGAGAGAAGCTAAGTGAACGTGGGAAGATGTCAGAGGGGGAAGGGAACAGTCAGCAGGAGAGTGGAGGTCTGGCCGTGCAGACACAAATGGATGAGGACAATTGTTTCTTTAGAAAGACAGCTTATCCGCAGAAAGGGGCCTGAAAGCTGCAGATCTACAGACAACCCCCTTAAGGAATGGAGTGAGCGGAAGCCCAACAAAATGTTCAGCTTTTCTGAAATTGGTGCTTTTCTCTGATAAAATCAGTAAGGTGGTCAGCTGGAAACTTCACTTTGATTCTGGCCCCATCAGAGTTAAGCAGACTAAGACTGGACACTGCATCCCACTTAGTAGCTGTGTGAACTCCAGCGGGTCATTTTCTCTCTGTTGCCTGTATGTTTGTCCATACAATGGGAAATAGTGGTGTTGCTTTGTAGTGATGGTGATGAAGTGAGAGCATTAATTTAAGTCCCTCGGTCCCAGCAGGAGGTAGGATAATGTGCATTTCCCCCACCTCCTATCTCTCTTCTGGGTTTTTATCTTTATCCACAGGACTGTCTTCTCTTCCCCACTAAACTGACAGCTCCTGGCCTATATTGGAAATATTTTGGGCTCTTCTGTGATTTGCCCTGAGTAAGAGTGTATTGGTTAATGGATCACTTGTAGTCTATCTCTGAAAGGAAAAGCTCTACTCTGAGATCTTTGAAATGTCTAGTGAGGATACATTTGCCATTGATCACGCATCCTGCCACCGCCTACCCTCACTGTAGCCTCATTCTCCATAAACAGTGTCAGAAAGTAATCTGCAGACCGTGTTCTGCATTGGTCTTGTCAGTATTCTTGAAGTTAAGCTGTGACTGTAACTGCAGGTGATCTCAAGGGACAAGGGCACAGATAAGTATCTGACTGCTGCGCTTTCCCAGAGATTCGCACAACAAATCTTGCTATTTAGTGGTGTTATTTGAATAAAATGAATTCCTCTCTCAAGTGGCAGTCATTCCATTTTCCTACAAAAGGTTGTATGCAAGGAAAGAAACTCCATGGAGTAAGTGGCTTCTGTCTCAGGCAAGGGGCTCTCTGGCCCTGTGTGGGTCGGGCCAGACAACTCCTCAAATGTTTGGATGGAGAATGTTCCAGGACTGAAGGCAGCTGCAGCAAAGAAGGCTGGATGGGGACATTTCATTTTCCTGCTTTGCTTTAGACGAAAGAGGGTGAATTCAGACTGGGGTCACCGGGTTAACTGGTTGGTGCTCTGAAATTAAGATCGTAATAGACATCTTCAGACAAGATGCTCTTTACTGTCAACAGCAAAGCATAGCCAGGGGCAACCGCGAAGTACTCTGTAAGCCTCAGAAGGCTTAATAAGACTTCATCCCCATCTGCCCAGATTTGGAAAACATGTAAGTGTAACCTTTATTTTAGCCGACCAAATGCAAGACGATTGGATTATCGCAGAATTTCAATTTGGAGGTGGTAACTTACTTTGCCTGCTCTATCTTCATATTAACAACAGTCACATTACTCTGATGTAATAGAGTGCTTTGCAGGTTACTCAGTACCTCCGAAAAATTAAAAATTCATTCCACGAGTCTCTCAACAGCCCTGTAAGCCGGCTGGAACAAGAAGTATTAAACCCATTTTTCTTAGGAGGAAACTGAGCTGCAGAGGTTTGCTGCCTGTTAATTTGCAAGCCTTGCCAGTATCTGATTTAGAATGTGCTTTGATGTGCAAGGGTCTCATTGATACTTAACTTTTTCTGGAACATGAGATTTGCATAATAAAGGAAACAGGTATACTTCCCCCAGGGTAAAAGATCTGTGTGATCTCCCTTTCTCTAAAACTCCTCCACTCTTTACTCTATGTCCCACCTTGTCTGCACATTTGTCTCCAGCATCACTAATCACCATCAAACATAGTATGAATTGATCTGGTTACACAGCAGGTACATAGCTCAGTAAACACTGGCTGAATGCCAGAATATACAAGGAGAAGTAAACATGTAAACCTGCACCATGTTAATCAAAGGTCCTCAAATTCTCTGCTGTGTGTACTGCTGGAAGGTTGTATGTGTGTATGATTGCAAAAAGGATGCTCAGCATCCAGGCTCACATGTCAAGGTAGAGCCAGCGGGTCTGAATGTCACCCTGTGGGGGACAGGCAACCCCAGTGGTCTCCCTGGTGATTAATGCACCAGAGTGGAGATCTCGGCTCAGCTTGGAGGAGCCCCCTTTGCAGTGCTCGGGCTGAGGAAGAATGGGTGCAGTCTTTCCCCATTTAGATGTGGTTTCCAGGGACCACGTAGGTGCCCTGTGAGCATGCCGATGCCCACGGACCCATGCGCAGCTCTGCAGTGGTGCCAGAAGCAAGATTAACTGGTCCTTTCATCTTAGAAGCATGCAGGAGGCAGAGGAGGGAGAAGGAGGGGGTACAGGGAGGGAGGCGAGGAGGGAAGAGGAAGGGAGATGGTGAAAGAGTGCATGGGCTGTACATCATGTCTACCTCAGGAGGTGCAGGGGCGGCAGAGGGCCTGGCAGTGCCAGCTGTCCAGGATGGCAGGGAATGGAGCAGAAGGTTGACATCTCCGTTAGAGGAGGGTGGGGAGACCATGGCAATGTGGTCACCGCTGAGCCCGTGGCTGTTAGAGGCCTCTGGGGAATGTTGTGGTGGTCACAGGGCAGCACCCCACACAGATCTCACAGTCCAGCCTCTCCTGCTTCCTTCCATCCAGCAGAGATAGCCCAGGGCCCAGGAGAGAGGTAGGGAACAGTCAGGCAAGAAGCCTGAGCTGTCTGGTGTCCACTGACCTGGACTCGATTCTCTGTTCCCATTCCCTGGCTGTGTAACGTTCAGCAAGTTCCTTGGCCTTTCTGAGCCTCAAATTCCCTCTCCATTAAATGATATTTTCACCAGCTTGCAGAGTTCATCATGAGTTTTCAGGTGTCACCTGGATAGCACCTTTCCTTCCCACCTTCACGGCCCCCAGCCGTAACTGCCACAGAATCCTGCCTGTAGCATGGTGTGTGCCACCTCGTGACCATCTTGTCTGAATGCTCATTTATGCAGTTACTGCCTCTTTCCCTCTGTGTGCTCCCAAGGGCAGGAGCTTACCTGGCAGCATTTTTTCTGTAGCCTCTATACAACATAGGGTCTGACGCACTGGGACCTCACCATTTGAGTACATAAATTATAAATAAATAATAAATTCCACCTCATCACCTGACCTTTAAAAAGCAGGCTTGGGGAGCAATGCATAAACAGAATGTAGTAAAAGATCCCTACTCCCTGGCTCCTATGAATGCCAGGTACTGGGAGGCCACGTGTCTTCACATGGGTTCTTTCACTGCATCATTTTTATTTTTATTTTTTGATACCGGGGATCAAACTTGGGACCTTGAGGTTTTGAGGCAGGCACCAGAACCACTGAGCCAAATCCCCGGCCCTGGAAATTGATCACCGCATCCTTGTAATGATCCTCGCTGTCTAGTGAAAGTCAGACCCTACTGATTTTCTAGAAGGGGAAAATGGAGGCTCAGAGGGGTTAGGAGCTCTTCTACGATTACAGAGCTTGCTGACAACAGGCGTAAAATCCTGGTCAATTTATTCCAAGTCCTCATACAACATGGCCCGTGTCTGTCACACGTCTCCCTTCACCCCGGCATAGGAGTAACCTATTTTCCATATGGGAGGTAACAAACTATGCTGGTGTTGACCTCTCACACTTCAGTGTACATTCGCCAGCCAGAGCCTGTTCTTAGTTTGTTTTTTGAGACAAGGTCTCATATTTTCCAGGCTGACCTTGAACTCACTATGTAGCTCAGGCTAGACTCAAATTTGTGGCAGTCTTCCTGCCTCAGTCTTCCGAGTTCTGGGATGACAGCTGTGCACCACTGTGCCTGGCAGTCCTTTTCCTAGTGAAACAAAGTGTGGCAGAGTGACCTTCGTAGGGGAGGTGAAGAGCAGGGTGGTGCAGGGGAACAGGGTTTAAACAGTTTTGCAGTAGGGGATGAAAGCAGGCATAGGAGGAGCAAAGGAGTCAAAACAAAGAGTCCAGAGAGCATCGGAAGACAGATTATGGGGGCCAGCAGCCTACTGCAGATTTCTGCTCTGCCAGTCAACCATTGTGTGATCTGGAGCAAGTCAGTCATCTTAGTCCATTTTCGGTTGCTATAACAAAATACCCAAGAGTCAGTGGTTTATAAAGAATAGAGGTTCATTTTCACAGTTCTAGATGCAAGCATCCGGTGAATGCTTCTTGCTAGACTGTAGTATATCTGAGGTGTCACATAGGAGACAGGGCAAATGTGCCAGAGAGGGCTTTCCTTTACAACAAAGCTGGTCCCTAGTGAACTCAGTGATCTATGGATGGATTAATCTTTCATGATGCGATCACCTTTCAAAAACTGTGTCTCAACGCTGATGCACTGAGGACCAGTTAACCTCATGGTGTCTGCTTCCTGATGTGTAGAACAGGGTTGGTTAGTTTCAACCCATGAGGTTGTCACATAGACTAAACAAGATCACATGGGTAAAACATGTAAAGAGTAGCTGGTGTCGTGAGTGCCAAATGAGTGACAGCTACTGTAATTAGCTATGATTATGTTTTGCAGCATTTAGCAGAACCTGTGAAAACACTGATTTAAACTCTGCTGGAAGTTTATTTTATTCTCCCATAAAACAAGTTTAAGAGAGCCAGTCGAGGACTGGTCCTCAGGCTCTCTGATTGTTATGAAACCTATATTCTTTCTATCTTGATGCTCTGTTCTTCCGAGCATGTTGCCTCATGGTCCAGAACGGTTGCCCCTGTCTTAGCCATCATGTGCCTGTTCCTGCCAGCAAAAAGAAAAAGAGAAAGGAAGGTTTCATTCTGTAAAGGCATTTCCTGGAAATTTCCCTTCCCACATGCATTTATCTCTCATTGGCCAGAACTTAGTCCTGTGGCTACAGGTCAAACTACAGGTCAGGTCACTATGTAACCAACTAACATTCCTGAGGTGCATTGAAAAAGGAAGAAAATGGATGTGGTGGACAACCTTGTAGCTTAGCGCCTCAGGTACGAAGCAGGGTTTTTCTGGCACTCCTGTCTCTGAGAGTCCTCTTTGTTGGTCAAAGGGGACCAGCCCCTGCTGTCTGCCTTGCCTGCCCTCCCACTGGCCTTTGCCTTCTGCTAGGCCCAGGAAGGGCAGCTCCATCCTGTCAAGGCTGTGACCCTTATGAACTTGGACAGGAGCACAGGAAGCAGCTCTGGTCAGTGTCCCTGACCACCTGGCCTCTGGGTAAGCTCGAAAGCTGCCTCTGGGTGAGGGAGAACAGGAAGATAGAAAATACAGACTCCGGACATGTTTTTAGTTTTAAAATCATAGAAGTAATATATATTAGCAGAAAATAAAAAAAAATTTAATTAAAAGCAGAGCAGAAGTCTTTTAAGCCTAAACTCAGAGATGAACATCATTAACATTTTGTGTGCCTCTTTTAATCATCTTTTCAGAGTTTTTCCTCTTAATTACAAATTTAGGATCACATCTTTAACTGCTTTTATAACCAGCTGTTAAAAATTCAGTGATAGTCAGACAACATTTCCATGTTGCTCACATATTTCTGCTACATAACTTTAAATGGACATAGCTTTAAATGGATGCTTCCTTCTCTCCTACAGAATTGAGGACCACAATATGACTTGGATCTTAGTACTTGGTCAAAATATAGTCTCTGGTTTCTTCTTCAGGTTTGGCCTCCAAAGGGACAATTACCAGGTTTGAACTTCCATTGGCTCAGGTTCCCTGGACCCAGGTATGATCAGAGACATTGTGACCATACCCTGGTCCTTGACCTTGGTGTGCAGGTGGTGTAGTGACCTTCGCTATACACACACTGATAATAATCACTTCCAAATATGGGTAACCTTCTAGAGGTAACTTGCAGCAAATATTTTCTCTTGTCTATTTGTTGAAATTCCAGCAGTCTGTTAAGGTATAAATGTATCTTCACTATTGTATAAGTAAAATGTAATCACTCATAGTCTGTCTTTATGTACAGAAGAAATTATTAAGAGCTCTTGTGTTTAAATATAGAAGGAAACATATTGATAGCTAGTAATAAATATTGGGAAAGCATGTCAACTGGATACTTTTAGAAGATACTACATGAGGCAACAATAAAACATTAGAATAATACTCTGAGGCAGGATGATAGACACTACATTATATCGTAGTTTTGTCCTTGGAGAATTTTGGGGGATACTAATATTCGTAACACCAACTAGCTTTCCAAATTGTATTCAAGTCTCAGCTTCTTTATTCTATTTAAACCACAAAATTTTCAAAAGCCAGTTGGGAATTCTTTACATCTTGTAGGGATAAAAGAAAAACGTCACCTTAACCAATTTAATAATTTCATGAGAAAGAAAAACTCCTAAAAATCACAGATGGATGATGTAAGATAAAAATATGGCGAATACTTAAAGGACATTGCCATTAATTCCCTTCAGAATCCTCCGCCTCTGTGGAACTCACTTCCCTATCACTCTTGCCACTTTCTGAAGCAGCTCTGGAGGTCTTCTTTCATGAGTGTCTTTATTTGCACTGTTGTGGCTGTCCCTCGAGCTCCTGAATTGATTCAAAACATTTACCGTTTAGGGTAATCTTGACTTTGGGGAAGAACTGGAAGCCTCACAGTGCCAGATCTGACTAGTAAGGTGGATGAGGACACGCTGTCATGTTTTTATTTGACGGAAGTTGCTGTAAACATGTCTAATTAGTTCAGGACATCGAGGCAAACATACACACAAAAACACTCACAGAAGGTAGCTTCCAGAGCTGCGTCAGACAGTAGCAAGAAGGATGGGATAAGTGTGTTCCAAGTGAGGGGACCAATGGCAATGTGTCTTTTCTGTAGTAATTTTAAAATTTAAACGTTAACCACAGTTTTTGATCAATATTTCTGTGACAAATCACATTTAACTCAACACGAGAAAGAATATATAGAAAATGGAGAGAGGAAGAAATTTTAGAAAAAAAACGAGGCATCACACACTTCCACAAGTGTCAGTCGATGTAAGCATCCATTTGTTGATACAAATGTGCACAATATTTAACAGAAACAATCCAGCTCCTGCTAATACTGAGAAAATGCTGATCTTGAGCTGTAATGTTAGACTGTCAAGCACTAGCAGTGAAACACATCAATTAGGATTTTGGCATCGCGGAGTCTGATAACATTTTATTGAAATTCACTCCTTTACCAAAGACGTCGGCTGAACGAAGATGGTGGGAGGCATTGGCCTTGGCTTCTGCTGAATACCAATCTTAGCACTTGACCATCTGGCATCCAACCAAAACATGTATTGAAAGTGTCTCTAACTTAAGATTATTTCCAGTTCCTCACTATTATTAGCAACATTTCGATGAGCGTCCTAGCACAACACTTGGAGGGGCCGGTGACTATTTCCTTGGCTGAATTCCTAGAAATGGAGTGACTATGTCAAAAGGATCCCTGTTGCCTACTTACCCCCTGGAAAGTGTGTACCAACTTCCCTCCCATAAGAGGAGCGAGGTGTGGCAAAGAGCTAAATCCTGCCTCATCAACATTGGAACCTGCGATTTCAAGTGCCCACCCCAACAGTGGTTGGCAGTTGGATGGCAGAGAATAGAATACTTCAGCTGGCTCCAGACGCCCCCTGGGTCCCAGAGCTGAGATTGCAGCTCTAATTTATTTTGTGTTTAGCTTGTTTCCAGCATGGTTGCAGACTCTTTAGTTCTTGCATTACCTAAATGGCTACAAAGTAAATATGACTGGCATCATTTCATGGATGGAGAAACTAAAGTTCTAGGGCTCTGTGGCCCTGCTTTGAGCCCGAATGGGGGTATCCTGAGGCCTGGCCACATGATAGTCAGCAAACCTCTTTCTGCCTGTAAAGGAAACTTGCAACTGTTCTTTCTCTCCGAGGAACCCTGAACTCTCCTAGTCAGCTTCAGGTCCAGCCAGAGCTAGAGGAGGAAAAGGAGGAAAAGCCAGTGCCTATGGCACCTACTGGGCTCAGCTTCACACTGAGCACTTTACATTCATGCATTTGTGCCACAGTTTCCTGGTTGTTTCTGAGGGAAGATGTGCCAGAGCTGTCTTCCCTGCAGACACCCAGGCATGCATGAGTGTAATTCAGATCTAATGTTGCTGGGAGTAGGTCGAGGGTCAGCCACTGGCTTCTAGGACTTTACAATGTCACTTAAGTCTTAAGTCTCATCACAGTGACAGCTGGGTTATTAACCCTTCCTACTGAAGAGTAGCTAGTGGCCTAAGAAAATGTCCAAGTACTCAGAGCTAGTAATTGGTGAACATTTCAGATAAGGACCTGGTCCAGCGTAGGTGTCTGGGACGTGTGCCTGGAGTGGGTGGAAGGATGCGTGGATTCTACTGGGTCTTAAGTGATAAAACTAGGGCAGGCAGATGGCTGTAGTGCCTCTGGATGAGCCAGAGAACATCACGCAGGAAGGAAGCAGACAGGACTGGAGCCTCCATGGTGATGGGTCTTTTTTTTTTTTTTCATGCTATCGAACAAGAAAAGGTGCAGGGCTCCTCTGTATGTTGTACAGGTTCTACACTTTATGATTCTAGGGAGTCTTTGTTTCTTTCTTTTCCTTCACATTTACCATAAATTTGAATGATTATTATGACAATTTTCCAGTAGATGGCAGTAAAGCACCTCAAGTTTCTGTTCCTTGTTCTGTTTGTGCAAATGCAGTGTTTGGGCTAACAGCAATGCTGGGAGAATCTGTCTTCCAGCCCTCCAAGCTGCCGAGGGAGTGCCTGACAGCTTTCCCCTCCTATGTCGCACTCCTTTGTCACCTCAGGGTATCACAAACCCTACCCAGGGTCTCCGTGCTGTGCTGAGCAGTTGGGACGATGGTGCCTCGGCGCAAGAATCTCATCTGAAGCTTTGTTCCAGGTAGGTGAAGTTTTTCACCCAAAACCCTGGGTTCGAGTCCCCACCCCTGCACTTCCTTGTGGCTGATCTTGAGCAAGAAGCTCCTGAGTTCACATCCTTGCTTTTCTCCTCTGAAGAGTGCAGTCATAGCCCTTGCTGTTGGAGTTGTGAGGAGCCAGAGCTACCCTGAGCATGGCTTGTCCCAGAGGGGCGTCCTCCACTAAGAAAGCCCAGAGCTGCCCAGCTGGTCTGGGAGGCCGAGCTGCACTGTGGAGGGAGGGGTGAGCTGGGTGCAGGATATCAGATAATTAGCCAGCAAAGGTTTATTGAGAACCTACTATGTGCTATGCATTCTGCTGGTCTCTACCCACAAACTGCCTGAGATCTCCAGGGGCAAGTATAGTTAACATTGTTGCTGTTTTGTTTGTTTTGTTTTCTGCTGTTAGGGATGGAACCTGGGGCTTTGGGCAAGCTAAGCACATAGTCTGCCCCTGAACTACACCCCCAGCCCTGCATCTCATTTCAGGATTACACTCATCCCATTCCTCTGGGAACAGAGGAAAAGAGGCCTTGCCCAGCCCTTCCAAGCTCCTAGGCGCCTTCCTGACAGGGCACTGCCCAAGGACAGGGTGGGAAAAGTTTAGCAGGCTCTCCCCTGCCCTTGCCCTAGAGTAGCTGGCTTATGGCTTTCACTCAGGGTTTGATCTGGCTGGGAAGGGACGAGACACCTAAGAAGGTGGCTTGCCTACAATAGGTATGCGTCTCCTCTCATGTAACAGAAGTCCCAGAGCTAATATGGCCGCTCTGCATTGTCAACAGGGATCCAGGCTCTCTCTGTCTTCCTGTTCCCTGAAACTTCTGATGTGCTCCTTGTTCTCATGTTGAAGCAGCAGTGCAGGGCTGGTCCTTCATGATATTAGGACTTAGCCTCCTTCTGTATAATTTACCCACCATTCTCTAGTACGTACCTTTCAACTCATGGTCCAAACCGGCTGCTCGGGGGCTAGCCATCAAGTCACCATCTCATCAGCAGAATTTAAGAAAGAAGGAATGAGCAAAGGCATACGTCTGCCCCCTAGGGCACTCTCCGGAAGTTACTCTTACTTCCATTTGGCTCCCATTTGCTGGGACCTAGTCACATGATCAAGTCTAGATGCAGAGATGATTGGGAGATAAGTCTTTATTCCAGGTGGCTCTATGCCTCTTTAAAAGTTGAGTCCAGTTCATAGGGAAGGAGAGGAGAGTGACTGTTGATGAACCATGACGATCCTCTACCACATCTTGGCTCTGAAGAACCATCTCCAGCCTACAGGGAGCATCTCTACCCAGCAGCCTCCCTGGCATAAAGTAACCAGGACAATAATCCCAAAACCATAATACCGCAGAGCAAGAATTACACTAATTCAGTAATGGTGTAATTTCCTCTCTGCACATAAATGATATTTGTGTTCTGTTGTCCTTGCCAACATTCAGTCTGGCAAACCCCAGGCTCTCAGCTGCCCATGGTCCCTGCCAGTCCCTCCAGGGCGCCACGGACTCCGGCCCTGAGAGGATGCCGTGCTCCCATGGCTGCCCATCCCCTCTAGAGTGGAGCCTGGCTCAAGTGAAGGCGACGGGGGTGGGGACTGAGGGGGAGACCATGACAGCAGCAGATAGACACTCAGCAGGGACGGTGGTGGTTGCCTTGGTGAGCCGGGCAGAGAAACTTCTATGCTGCGCTAAATGTCATCCTGACCGCCAGCATCTTCTCCACACTCAGGAGACACCCTGGGGGCGGGGCGGAGGCTCCTCGGTCCCACCTTGTTCCCTGGGCCCCCTTTTAAATACTCAGGTCCCCGAGGGCTGCCCAGGGTTGGCCCCGTCCCTCAGCTCTGGACGTGTCAGCCTGGGACCGGAAGCAGCTTTCTGACTCTAAAGCTGTGACACCTTTGAGAGCTGCCCATCCCAGGCAGGATGCCGGCAGCCGGTGGAGTTCCCAGCAGACTGTCAGATGGCAGGGAAACAGCAGGGACCGAGAGAATATGAGCTGTCCCCCCTCTTTCCAGGGACAAGTGTGGAGCAGGGAGAGAAATCTGTCCCTGCTGGAAATGTCAGCTGCAAGCCAGGACCCTGGACTGTGGCCTGGGTGGTGACTAGAGACGCAGGGCTATGGGCACCACTGCCCCCAGTGCCTCAAGTGGCTGCCTCAGGAGCCCAACACCTGCTCTCCAGGATGCTGACCCCGCTCTCTCAGTCTCTCAAGCCTAGCAGAAGCTCCCTCACCTCAGCTTAGCGGAGGAGGCCACCTCCACACCTGCAGTTCCCCCAGGGTTCCCTGGGCTCCTGCTGCTAGCCCCAGCACCTCCATCCACCTCCCCCTCTTGGTCCAGGGCTGCTGGAGCAGGTAGCACTGGCATGTCCTGGGGACCCTCAAAGGGACGAGTGCCTCCCCCTCACAGGGCTGGCTCAGCTGGGCAGCCTGCTCACGTTTCCCCACGCAACTTGCCCTCCTCGGTGGCTACACTCAGCAATCTAGGAAGCAGAGAAGGGGCCAGGGTTGGTGTGGGGCAGTTATGGTGAAGGCTGTCACGGGACACCTCCTGAAACAGGTCTGGGGGCCCAGAATGTTGTGCAAGTTTATATGCATGTACTTGTTCCTACGTAAAACACACATTCGCCCGTGCACACTGGTACTTATCAGGCGCACATCTGTGCACACACATGTAACACACTCACATGCACACCCAAGTGCAGAGTCTGCTAGTCCTCTGCCAGGGTTAGGATTCTGAGCTCTGAAGTCAGATAGACATGGTATTTTCTTCACTTAGTATATTATGGTTTCTAAGGAATGGATTCTCATTTCCGGAAGGCACCATCTGAGATTTGAACCACACAAAGGTGCCATGAGTGCAATATCTTCTTCCTGTCCCTGTGACCAATGTCCGTTTCCTTCCTCAGGAACAAGCATTGCCACTATCTCCTCCCATCACCTCGACCTGAGCTGCTTGTCCCTGGCTAGCATGGGTCTTTGCTTCAGAGATAATGGAAATTAAAACTGAAGCAACAGCATGAATCTTTAGGCAAAGCTTTAATTGGGAAGGCAGAGAAACTAGGGAGGGACTGAAGGGCGACAGACTGGCAAATCAGACTGGGCCCTCAACAAAGGAAAAGGGGCTGCTGTGGTGGGCTAGCGTCTGGTTGATCATAATTTCAGCTCTAGTTTCACCGCTCCAGAGAAGCTTGTATAGCTTGAGAGAATAACCCCATCTCTGTGAGACAGAAAATTCCTGCCAAAATGTCGGTTTTGCAGAGGCTCTGCTGGAATACAAGTTGACTGGGGGCTTTAGGTGCCCACTCCTGGGAGTTAAAAGTGGCACTTGAAGGTCTCTGTAAATCTCTTGCCTTGATGCCCTCAATCTTGAAGAAGGATGAGATAGATTATGCAAATGAAACTTGTATCAGCCGTGTTTAGACAGACACCCCTTAAATGATGAACGTGCTTGTAGGCAGAGTTGAGCAGGGGTCTCACGCAAAGTTTAGGCCATAAAGGAAACAGATGCAAAATGAAGGCTAAGCTTTGTGCTGCTTTTCATTACCCATTTGGCATTTTGTGGGCCTAAGTGATATGACCCTGCCCCTTTCTCTCTCTCCCCCAAAACAGCTTATAAGTCCCTGTTTCAGAAGAAAATGCAAATCATGCTTTTAATAAGTAACAGGTTGAAGGCCAGGTAGTTTATCCTCTGTCCTGGGATGATCTCCAACAGGTTTATTTTCTCATCTAGTTTACTCTTAGAGACACTGTGGTGAGGACATCGTGCGTGCGTGCGTGCGTGTGTGATGTGTGTTTGTTGAACCCAGGCCCTTCACACTGAGCTACATCCCCAGGCCTTTTAAATTTTTGAGAGAATGTCTTGTTACATCACTAAATTACCCAGGCTCGGCTTGGACTTGGGATCCTCTTGCCTCAGCCTTCCAGAGTGCTGGGACCACAGGTATCTACCACCACAACAGGTTTACGACTTCCGGGTTTTCATAAAGCATCTGTGTTTTGAGGCCAGTAAGGTTGTTTGGGGGACGGAGGGGTAGGGAAAAACATGCCATAGGTCCTGAGTTAAGGTGCGGGAGCGTACCTGCCCCTGTCCCCACGGTGGCCTCTTTAGCAGTGAGCAAGCTGCTCGCGGTGCACAACCACCGGCCCAGCCTTCTGCACTCCTGCGCGGTTCTTCCCCGTGGCTGCCCCTACTCCTGCGCACAGACCGCGCCTAGCCTACCCCAGCGGCTGCTGGGGGTCCTGCAGATGCAATGTGATTTACATGAAGCATCCTTCCAGATGAGCACAGGTTGTTTTTAGCTGTTTCTCTCTTTTTGCTGCTGCTGCTGCCGCTGCGATCCCTTTGCGAGTGTCTGTGCTGGTAACTTTGCCCCTGGGAACAGGCCTATCTCTCAGTACTGGCCCAGTGGCCCCCCCGCTCTGAATCTGTGGATGAGGACAGTCAGAACAAGAACTGCCTGGGCAGTGGTGAACAAGGTCCCGTGGGGACCCCCGCGCATAGAGAAACAACTGGAAGGGGCAGGGGTGAGGGGTGAGGGCCGAGGGAGGGGCTGCAGCAGCCCCCTCCCCATGGCCTCTGTCCTTGTGACTGGCATCAGGGAGTCAGGCCTGTGGGCCAGCTGTGTGGGTGCTGCAGGGAGGAGAAGCAGGACGAGGCTGAGGGGGGTGGCAGCTGCACAGAGCTGGCAGAGTAGAGCAGGCCCGCTGTGTTGCTGAGTCATTCCCACCAGAGCCTTGGAGAGGGGCAGGCTCGCTGCGCGCGCGTGTGTGCGCACACACACACACACACACACACACACACACACACACACACACACTGCAAATCTCAGGACCGGGGGAAAAGGAGCCCTGACCAGCAGAAAGGCTTTGTCCTCACACACATAAAAGCCAGGCAGACAAAGAACGGCCACTCCTGCCCAGTCCTTCAGCTGCCATTTTCCCCACCCCCTTCCTCACCTCATCCTGTTCCCACGGACCTCCTCCATCCCGG